AGCGGAGGTCGCCGTTGTGCGCCAGGCGCAGCTCCAGCAGCCCGGGCAGGCCCCTAAAGGCGCCGGGCGTGATGAAGGACAGGTTGTTGTGGCGCAGCGACAGGCGGCGCAGGGAGGGCAGCGTGCCAAAGGCCCGCTCGCCCAGGAAGCGCAGGCGGTTGCGGTCCAGGTCGATGGAGGCCGCCTCGCAGGGGAACTCGGCGGGCAGCCGCAGCAGGCCCGCGCGGTCGCAGCGCACCGAGCAGCCTCGCTGGGAGCTGCTGCACACACACGTGGCGGGGCAGGCGCGCGTGCAAGCCCCCACGGCCCGAGCGCCAGGCAGGCCGAGCACCATCGCTGGGAGGAGAAAAGACACAAACAGAACCACCATCAGCCAAAGGGGCATCCTAGGTAAAATCCTAGCCTCCCACGTGGCAGGAGGCACCGCCCACCCCTAAGTGTCTAAACGGCCGTGTCTAGTCTCCTGGGCCTTGCAAAGGTTTTGTTAGGAAGCTAGCATGGGGACTGGGGCGTCCACTGCACATGCTCACAGGGTCGAGCTTCTAGCCTTGAAGGGGTGGTACATCTAGGTGGGCCTTACACCTGGATTGGCCCATCTAAGCCAGGTGAATTTGATTTCAGCCAATGGGATCGACCAGTATTGTCGACCACGCCTCCCAACGGGACCCTTGAAAAGACAGAGGTTTTGCTTTGGGCTCGCTCGCTCTCTTTCCCAGCAACTGCTACACATGTAGCACAGCCAGGCTGTGGTCCCGCAACTGTGTCGCGGCCTCTGGCTGGCTTGTGTTCAGTTACCATAGAACCTGAAACTGCTACAATTCTCTATAAACTCACTGGGATCACAAACCAGGCTTCGGCGTGAATTCTTTCTCGCACGGAGCCAAGGACCGAGGTACATCTCTCCCCCGAGAGAGCTAACAGTTTCTCCACCGAAAACCACCCCTTCCCTGTTGTTTTCCAGGTATCGTAATTTAACCTAGTGGCGTAGTGGTCTAGCTTTGGGCTGCTAACCACAAGGTCAGCCATTCGAAACCAGCAGCCGCTCTGAGGTTTTCTACTCCCGTGAAAATTTATGGCCTCGGAAAGCCACAGGCGCAGTTCTACCCTATCCTGCGCTAGGAGTTGGTATCAACTCAATGATGGGGAGTTTTGGATGGTGCAAGTGAGTAATGTGCTTGGCTGCCGAGCCAAAGGTTGGAGGTTTTCCCTCACCAGAGACCCCTTAGAAGGTGCCTGGCCATCGACTTCTGAAAATATCAGCCACCACTGGAAACTATTGAAGCACAGTTCTGATCAGACCCCCATGAAGGCAGAGTCTACTTGCCAGCAATTGGTTTGGGTTGATAGGTGTAAGGCACACTCTGGATTTCAAATACTTCGTACAAAACAAAACAAAAACCAGCTATCTCATTCGTTGTTTTACATTGATTGCATGTCAAAATGATGTTTGCGATAAATTCATAATTGGCTTAAATAAACCAATAACATTTGTACCACTTGAAGAAAGCTGGTGGTGCCTGGCTATCAAAAGATATAGCATCTAGGGTCTTAAAGATTTGAAGATAAACATGCGGCCATTTAGCTCAGAAGCAACAAAGCCCACATGGAAGAAGCACATCAGCCTGTGTGATCATGAGGTATCGATGAGATCAGGGATCAGGCAATTAAGACCCAAAATAAAATCATACCCAGTGTGAATGAGGCGAGGGCATGGAGTGGCAACCCAATGCCCATGTGTAGAAAATTGGACATCCCCTCACAGGGTCACAGGGAAGAGATGAGCCAGTCAGGTTGCAGTATAGCACCGATGAAACACACAA